CCAAAGAATCTGAAAAATAAGCAGGACAAACTGCAATGCAATTTGTGACGACGAACTCTTTGGCAAGTAACCAAATTTGATATATTTTTCATCGCGTATAGACTAATCAGAAAAAAAAATCGGCTACGTGTCATGTTTAATAAAATCACGTCTCCCATCAAAAAAAAAAAAAAAAAAAATCTCCGAAAGATTTTTTTTTAAATTATTATATTACAAATTCTAAATGTTTGACTTTTTTTCCCCTGAATATTTATAACATATTTGGCTCTATAAATTACAAACAACGTCAATTGGCCAGAAAATGGGAGAAAAACGAAATAAAATCTTGACGGAAGTGTAAGTGAACAAATTAATATTTTCTCTGACGTAGGGAAAATTACACACTCAAAAATTTAAAAATAGCTTTTGAAAATTTTTTTAAAAATTTAAAAAAAATTTTTTTTATTCAAAAAATAATGAAAGGGTCAATTAATTTTTTTTTTTTTGATTATCATTTCCAATTTTTTGTAAATTTTAAAAAAATTACTAAATTTTTAGATTGTAAATTTAAAAAATTAATTATTGTTTTTTTTTTTTATTATCATTTCCAATTTTTGTAAATTTTAAAAAAATTACTAAATTTTTAGATTGTAAATTTAAAAAATTAATTATTGTGTATAAAAAAAATTCGACAATTAAAAAAGTGATTAAAAAAATTTTTTTCGAAAAAATTTTTGACAAAATCAAATATGCAAACTTGTAATTTTGAAAACATGAACTTGAAATCAATACTGTGAAAGGGGGTGACAATTCTCATAACGTCATTAGTCCTGATTGGACAGTTGGTTTCATGTTGAAATCCACGAGAGTGGTTCAAATGTTAGGCATCTGTTCATCAACGATTTCTAGGTGACTTCGTATATCACTTTCACATTAATTGGCATGGGGATTAATTTCTCTCCTATATACCTGAGTTTCTCATTTATAATTTATTAATGCAAAATTGATACAGCCCTAGACACGTCATTTTCTCCTCTCTCAGGGATTTTCAAAATAAACACATTATCCAGCAAAATCGAATTTATTTTCCCAAAGGAGTCATTTTTTTTTTTAGAAAAAAAAAATAAATTTTTGCTTAAATTAACCGAAAATACGAATTTAATATTTAAAAATTGTTATTCCCAAAAAATTAATTTAATTATTAATTAAAAAAAAAAAAATTAAAAATTAATTTATTATTACATTTTAATTATTATTCATTTAATTATTTTACACCCAGAGAAATAATTTATTTAAATCAAAAAAAATATATTATTTTGAATTAAATAAATGTATATTTGTCTCAGAGCCTACTAACATATTTATTTGGTGTAAATAAAAATTTTATTTGACATAATTAAATTTTTCTTTAGTTTAAATAAATTTTTTATTTCAATGAAATAAAATATACTTGCAAGAAATAAATGAGTTAGTAGGCTCTGAGACAAATATACTATTTCTCTGAGTGTATTTTTTAAAAATTTTAGGATAAAAAAAATTATTATTATTTTATTAATAATAATTTTTAATAATAATTAATACTACTATTATTAATTAAATAATTATTTAATATTATTTATTATTTATTATTATACAGTTTTGTTATATAATTATTAATAATTATTATTTAATAATTATAATAATTAACATAATCGTAGAATAAAATAGTTTTGTATTTCTTTTTCCAATTATTTTTTTAAAAGAATTTTGTCTTTATATTGAAAAATTTATAAAAAATATAGTTTAGGGAAAATAATTTTTCTTTTTTCTTTTCTTTTTGCTCTATGGAAATTAAAAAGGATTTTCCGTTCTGACATTTAATCAATTAATTTCCTTCCTGTATATTCACCCCTTATTGATGTCAATCACTTTTCTTCAGCTTTTTTCAGTAATCCACTCAGTCTATATATCGTTCGACATCTCAATCAGAAAGATTGAAGTCCCTTTAGAATCCAATCGCTGTGAAATTATACCTACTCTTTTTTTTTCCCTTATCCATATAATTGTTCAATATAAATAAATAATTTTTTTTTTCATTAAATAATTTTTTATTAAAATATTTATATTTCTATGATCGAATAATAATTATAATAATAATAATAATAATGATTTTTTCATACCAAAAAAGAAGGGAAAAATTTTGACAATTGCAAATATTTATACAATATAAATAATAATAATAAAGAGGATTATTTTTTATTCATATCGTATATAAGAAAAAAAGTTGATCTATTATATGAAGAATTGTAATACCTTTTTTTTTTTTTATTATTGGACTTTTACATAACTCAACTCCCTCTCAATAATACTATTTTCAATAGATGAGAAATACCTCTCTTATCCTTTTATAAAAGTTCTTTACAAAGATCTTCCACTTCTTTCTTATATACGAATAAACTCAGAAGTGTTCAATTTTGTTCTTTATTGAACCGTAAGTCAATACCCGTCACGTAATCTCATTGAATCGCCGTTTAAAAACAAAAAAAAAATAAAATAAAAATCCATGTTCGCAAAAAAAAAGTTTCAGAAATTTTTTTTTATTTATTATTATTATATTTTCATTGCTTTTTTATTTATTTCATTTTTCCATTAATTTATTTTAATTTTTTAATTTATTTAATTTATTAATTATTTAATTTATTTAATTTTTCAATTTATTTAATTTAGGTATTAATTTATTAAATTTTTTTTATTTTTTAATTTATTTTATTTATTAATTTTATTTATTTAATTAATTTATTTATTTAATTTTTCAATTTATTTTATTTATTAATTTTATTTAGGGTCAGTCGGGGTAAATCCGAACGGGGGGTAAATCCGAACGCTAATTATTTCAGCTTAATTAAAATTTTTAAAAATAAGTTCGATATGAGAATTTTTACCTCAGATCCTCTTGAAGAGATTCTAAGTATTATCCCATTTTTTGTTTGTTAATTAGCAACAGCATAAACAAAGATAACGAGTATTGCAAAAAAGATTGAAAATCAAAGATGACACTCTTTCAGTATTTTGTCTCGTATTTGAAGAAAAAGAAGCTAAAAATTCATTTTATTATTTATAATTGTTTGTTATGAATACTAGAACAGAAACTATATTTGATTTTTGCCTTCTGTAAAATTTTATTAATAATATCAGACCGTTCGTATTTACCCAAAAAAATTGGAAAACTGGGGTAAATCCGAACGGTATTTTTAATAATTTTTTTTTACTTCAAAGCCACACAAAATTGTTTTTATTTCATTACACTATTATTTTAACATTGTAAAAGTACATAGAAAAAAGTTTTTCTTTCTATACGTATCCTCGTTAGTAATTAATAAGCAGAAACTTAATCTCTGTTCTCTCGAAGGAGTGTTTCAATTTTTTTGCCAAATGGTTTGTTGAAAAAAGTTTTTCAGGATCTTAATAAAATTTGGTATTCTACGGTTTTTGGGGTCGCTAATTACCAATTTGAAGTCAGTTTTTCAAAATTCAAAATGGCGGACGAGAATTAAAAAATTCATTGGATTCGCTCGAAAATTGTTACTCGGGGGGTTTCAGGGTTAGCAAATTTGATCATTTTTAAAAATAAGTTTTAGGAAAGTACGCCATTTTGAATTTAAAAAATTTCACTTTTATTTTTGTATTTACATTCAATCACTCCAAAATACTTTCTGTACCAAGTTTTGCAAAAATCCGTTATGATTTGATAAAGTTATTGAAGGTTTTAATTGTGTAATGCATTTTAATTTTTAACCTGTTTGATTTTTGTATTTATATATGATGCATTATTACATAATAGGTTTATTATCGTATTTTTTTTGAGTTTTTATATAAGTTTAACAATTGCAATACTTTAAATTTATTTTCCCTAAGATTTTTCTGAAATACAGTGGCGTTCGTATTTACCCCCATATTTTAGGAAAGTTGCAAAGTATCGAGGTAAATACGAACGCTAAGTTTCCTGCGATTGTAATTTATCAAAAAATTTTTCTACCCCATAAAATTGTTCTATGGAAGTAAAGTAACAACTTCATGCACCAGAATACCGGAAGTATTTTTTTTTAAAGAAAAAACTTATGTTATTGTTGAAACTTACTAAAAGCGTTCGGATTTACCCCAGTTGACCCTATTTAATTATTTTATTTATTTAATTTTTCAATTTATTTAATTTATTAATTTTATTTATTTCATTTTTTAATTTATTAAATTTTTTTTATTTTTCAATTTATTTTATTTATTAATTTTATTTATTTAATTAATTTATTTTATTTTTGTAAATTGTTGATGTTGACTTTTTTCTTTTTCTTCTTCCGCATATCTTCCTTTAAATCATCAACCCAATTAAAGTACAACTGAGTTACATGTAACGAATTTTTTTTTTTCTTTTTTTTAAAGTATACGGGGATTGCAACAGTTTCTGTGAAAACTTGAAGAAACCCTTGTTGGAATATTACGTTATTAATGTCAAGTGAAGGTTTTAAGCTTCTTTGTGCTTGTACAGTATGCAACTATTACCCTAAAGCTCACAGACCTCGAGCTTTATCCTTCAACTTTTTACATGAAAATATTAATACATATATATAGAATTGAAAATTTTATTTACATTTGCAATTTTCGTTCAAAAAAAAAAATAAAAAAAAATATTAATTTCTCGATAAACGAAATTGAAAATTGATTTCATAAAAAAAATTTAATTTCTTTTTATTGCTTTTAATTATAAAAAAATATTTCTAAATTTTTATAAAAAAAAGGAATTTTTTCAATATAAATATTTTTTTAATAACCAGATAGTGTCGGTATCTTTTGGTGTTTAGGAATAATATTTTAGTGTTGGCATAAAAGCTCACGGCGTTACCTACGGAAAGTTGGGAATAATTTCAGAGGGCAAAATTATTATCATTCTTCTGATATATGAAAATTTTCGTTATCCATTTAGAGGATAATAAAAATTTTTATCTTACCAACTAATGGATCTATTGATTTTTTTTCAATTTCAAAAATATTTTTAAAGAATTATTTTTTAATTTCTAAATTTTTTTATTTTGTGAAAAACAATTTTTTTCATAGAAAATTGAGATATTTTTTTTGGCGTGTAAAAAGTAGAATAAAAAATAGTTTCAGTTAAAAAAAAAATGTTTAAATCACAATATAAATGTAAAAAAATATTTTTTTTATTTAAAAAAAATTTTTTTTTAATTTTTATAATTATTTCCAGAATCAACGACAGATTCGCCTGCCAATGTATCATAAAACGTTGCATTTGTAATGGAAACAAATTCCTCTTTTGCCGGTTCACCATTTTTTAATTTAAGTTTAATGTGATCGAGAACTTTACCTAAACGATTTCTATCCATATCGAATATTTCACATTCATTTGTTGTCTCGCTCATGAAATTTGTCGTTGAAAAAATAATTTGACTAGTTGAGGAGATCTGAAAAAAAAGAATTTTAATTTCATTTAAAAAATTTAGAAAAAAAAATCAAATTAAGAAATTTAAAAAAAATTATAAAAAAATATTTATAAATAAAATTTAAAACAAAATTTTTTCAATTAAAAAATTAAAAAAATTAAAAATAAAATTTAAAACAAAATTTTTTCAATTAAAAAATTAAAAAAATTCAAAATAAAATTTAAAACAAAATTTTTTCAATTAAAAAATTAAAAAAAAATTAAAAATAATAAATACTTACAAGTTTGTTATAAACATCTTTAAGAACAATTCCCTTATTATATCGAGTACCAAAAAAATATTCCTTATGTCGTGGACAATTTTGTATATTTCTTCTCTTTTCAATTTCAATTTCATCATAAGGACCAAATATAAATTTACTTTGATCAAAAATTGGAATTATTTTAGGTTCACCATTATTATTATTATTATTATTATTCATTTGTTTTTTTCGACTAATTTTAAATTCTGTCTCACATTCGCCAACAGTGAAATTTTCCAATTTTTTAAATTGTTCATCATTACGTCTATTCTCAAGTTGAAAACCAATGCTCAATTGATTTGTAATAAGACGAATCATATCAATTATCCATTTTGATGCATCGTCATTATTACTTTCTAAACCATAATTTTCAATACCTTCATTATTAAATTTCACTTGATATAAATCATGACCCAATCCATATGGTGAATATGATTCATTTTTAAAAATTTCAATTCCCGTTGTATTAAAACCATTTGGATATGTTCGAATTATTTTTGTATCTTCAGTGCGACATATTAATATTGTTGTATCACTTAAATGTGGACGACATTTTAATTCACCTGAAACTCTTGTTCCCAATATTGATCCATTATCTGTATTCATTGCAGCAATCATATTTATTTCCATATCAAATATATAAACTGGTCCATATTTAAATTCATCTTGTGGTGCTGGATTCCATGCTAAAATTTTGGTTTTGAAAAAAAAAAATGTTTTTTTTTATATTTTTTCAAATAAATTAACTGATTATTATTATTATTATTATTATTATTTTTATTATTATTATTATTATAAATAATTGTTTCAATTTTAAAAAATTGCTAAATTTAAAAATATTTAATTTTTATGGGATTTTTTAAATTAATTAATAATTTTGCCTTTAAATTTTGATTCTCTAAACTTTTATTTTTATTTATAATTATTTGTTATATTTTTCATTAATAGAATCTTTATTTTTAATTTTAATTTCTTAGATTGTTATAAAATATTAAAAAAAAAATTTCTAAATTTATTCTTTGAAATTAAAATAAAAATTCACTAATTTTTAAAGCAAAAAATATTTTTTTTTGGAAAAATATTATTATATTTTTTGGAAAAAAATATTTAAAAAAATTTTTCTAAATTTATTCTTTGAAATTAAAATAAAAATTCACTAAAAAGCAAAAAATATTTTTTTTTTTTGAAAATTAATTCAACGTCGAATTAGAAGGAAATGTTTTTTTTTTTTTTTGGAATAAATAAAACAATTTTTAATTAAATTTCAATTCCACGACACTTAAAAAAAAAAAAAAAAAGAAAATTTTTCATATCCTACCGAAGAGAAAAGGTAGGAACACAAAATTCATCTTGATAATAATCTTTCAACTAGCGAAAATGTCGCTCTGAATTCTCCTTTTATAACATGCCCCTAACGTCGTCGACCTTTGCAATATATAGAACGGCTTAATAAAAGCTATTTTTCAATAGAAAACATCTAACCATTAAGGCCCACTTGAAACAATTCTAATATGACTAATAACAAAAACTATAATAATTCGTTCTTTCCGTATCATTAATTTCCTTAATATTTAAAAAAAAAAAAAAATTTACCCCACTGCATAAAAAAATAAGAAAAAAAATTCATTTCACTAAAAATCAATAAAAATTATTTTTTTAATTTTATTTATTATTATCATAATTAATTATTTATTATAATTTTAATTATTATAATTTCCTTAATATTAAAAAAAAACAAAAAATTTTACTCCATTGCATAAAAAAATAAGAAAAAAAAATTCATTTCACTAAAAATCAATAAAAATTATTTTTTTAATTTTATTTATTATTATCATTAATTAATTATTTATTATAATTTTAATTATTATTATTTTTATTATTTATTATTATTGTTATTTGATATAATAATTATTATAATAATTATTTTTACAATAATTATTTATTAAAATTAATTATTAATTAATTATTAATTAATTCAATAATTAATTAATTTTTGTAATATAATTTTAATTTAAATTTAAAATAACTGCGTAATTAGAAAATTATAAATTATTAAAATTAGTTCAATTAGAAAATAAATTAAAAATTTAATTTTTAATCATTTTTGTAATGATTTACAGCAATTACAACCGAATCCCCAGCAATAATATCGACAAATTTTTGCTTCGTTATTGGAACAAGTTCATCTTTCGCCGGTTGAATATTTTCCAATTTTAATTTCATATGATCCAATATTTTTCCCAAATGATTTCGTTCCAAATCAAATATTTCACATTCATTTATTGTTTCACTTGTAAAATTATTTTTACTTATTACCATTTGACTGACTGATGATTTCTATAAAAAAAAACAAATTATTTTTTTCTCTAATATTTAATTAAATTATTATATTAAATATAGAATAATTATTGTCAAAAAAAAAAAAAATTTTTTTTTTACAACTTACAAGATCATTGTAAACATCACGAAGAACAATTCCAAATGTATAACGTGTACCAAAAAAATATTCCTTTTTTTTCAAACAATTATGAATATTTCGTTTTTTTTTAATTATCAATTTTTCATCTTCGGAAAAATTAAATTGTTTATCAGAAAATATTGATATAAGTTTATATTTCATTTTTCTTCGACTTTCATTCTCGGTTATTGGTTTACGATTAATTTGAAAATTAGTTTCACAATTTCCAATTGTAAAATTTTCCATTTTTTCAAAATTTCCCTGATAATGTTGTTTTTCTAAATCGGCGCCAATACTCAATTGATTTGCAATTAATCGTATCATATCAATGACAAATTCAGATGATGGACGTTTTGTATCATCAAATATATAATTTTCAATACCCTGACGATTAAATTTAATTTGAAAATTATCCCGTCCCATGCCAAATAATGAATAGGAATCATTTTTTGATATATCAATATCCGATGTATAAAAACCCTCGGGATGAATGCGAATTATTTTTGTCTCCTCGGTGCGACAAATTAAATTTTTTAAATCTTTTGGACGACATATTAATTTTCCCGCTACTCTTGTGCCTAATAATGTTCCATTATCATTATTCATTGACGCTATCATATTTAATTCCAATGAAAATTGATATTCCGGTCCATATTTCCATGGACCTTCTTTATTTGAAATCCAAGACGCTGAGAGAGTGTAAAATGAAAATTAAGAAAAAAAAATTTTTCTATTAATTTTTTTGTCACTATTTTATTAAAAATAAAAATAATTATTAATTTTTGAAAAAAAATTTTTATCATTAAAAAAAATTATAAAATTATAAAAAAAGGGGAAAAATTATTGAAATAATTTTTTTTTTTTGAAAATGGAAAAATTTTTATTTTTTTTTTGGAAAATAATTTGTAAAAAAATTGTTTATCCTACCCAGAACAAATGGTAGTAGTGTGAAGTTCATCTTGATGTCAATCTTTCAACTAACGAAATGTCCGTTTCATATTCTGAATCCTTCTTTTATAACTGACATAATATGAGTAGAGTCGACCTTTACTACGTTTAGAACAATTTAATAAAACGCTATTTTACAAATATAGTACTTGATCAATTTATTATTTTATTGTCCACAGAAAACTGACACATTGAGAAAAATGAGTTATATCTAATTTTAGAATATATATATATTTTATTCTCTTTAAAAAAAAAATCGAAATATCAAATTTTACACGTACATAAACTTAGCGAAACAACTTCAAAAACCAAAAGTCTTATATAGACCAAAATTTGCCGCTTTTTAGTCGCTAATTAGTTGTGAAAAAAAAAATTTTGTCGCTCTTCAATTTTTTTTAAAATAGGGTGCTTTGCTAAGTTTACATAAAGTTAGCGAAGCACCCATTCTAACTCCGTTGTTTACAAAGATTCACAAAATTCTTCTTGACAGAAATTTGCCGTTTTTTTGCCGTAACAAGACCAAATAATTCATTTTCCAAAAACCCAAAAAATTAATTAAAAAAATTTAAAAAAAAAAATTTTTTAATTTCAAAAAAAAAATTTTTTTAAATTTAAAAATAAAATTAAGAAAAAAATTTTTATACGAACTGTAAATGAATGTAAATTAAACAACTGCAGATGAATCACATAAGTACAGTAAAAAAAATGTAATTCATATAGAAAAAGAAAAACTTATTTGTTAAATTTTACATTAAACTAAATTAAATTATTTCATAAGAATTTAAAATCTATGCAAGAGAAAATACGTAATCATAAATTATAAAAAAAAATTAATCAACTACTCATACGAAGAACTACTCAAGCAAAAAAAAATATTCTTAAAAAAAATTAATTTCATTACCTCATTTCACTTACATATAACTAACTACAAAACTTTCATTAAAAATGTTAATTGTTATTAAAAATCAATTTTTTACTTCATTTTTGACGTTAACTTTTTTAAAACAGTATTTATCAATTTTAATTTGTCACGACAAAATCGAAACCAAATGAAATGATCTTAATAGTCAAAGCGACAAATTCCCCAAGTAAAATTTGAATTAAAAAAGTTAATTGATATTAAAAATCACATTTTCAATTTCGTTTCCGACTTAAAATTTTTTTAATCACTATTTATCAATTTTAATTTGTCACGACAAAATCGAAACCTACTTGAATACACTTAATAGTCAAAGCGACAAATTCCCCAATTAAAATTTTCATTAAAAAATATTAATTGTTATTAAAAATCACATTTTCAATTTCGTTTTCGACTTAAAATTTGCTTAATCAATATTTATCAATTCTAATTTGTCACGACAAAATCGAAACCTACTTGAATACACTTAATAGTCAAAGCGACAAATTCCCCAATTAAAATTTTCATTAAGAAAAATTAATTGTTATTAAAAATCACAATTTCAATTTCGTTTTCGACTTAAAATTTTTTTAATTCGTATTTATCAATTTTAATTTGTCACGACAAAATCGATACCTACTTGAATACACTTAATAGTCAAAGCGACAAATTCCCCAATTAAAATTTTCATTAAAAAATATTAATTGTTAATAAAAATCACATTTTCAATTTCGTTTTCGTCTTAAAATTTGATTAATCCATATTTATCAATTCTAATTTGTCACGACAAAATCGAAACCTACTTGAATACACTTAATAGTCAAAGCGACAAATTCCCCAATTAAAATTTTCATTAAAAAATATTAATTGTTATTAAAAATCACATTTTCAATTTCGTTTTCGACTTAAAATTTTTTTAATCACTATTTATCAATTTTAATTTGTCACGACAAAATCGAAAACTACTTGAATACACTTAATAGTCAAAGCGACAAATTCCCCAATTAAAATTTTCATTAAAAAATATTAATTGTTATTAAAAATCACATTTTCAATTTCGTTTTCGACTCAAAATATGTTTAATCATTATTGATCAGGTTTAATTTGTCACGACAAAATCGAAACATAATTGAATACACTTAAAAGTCAAAGCGACAAATTCCCCAAGTAAAATTTTCATTATAAAAGATTAATTGTTAATAAAAATCACATTTTCAATTTCGTTTTCGACTTAAAATTTGTTTAATCAATATTTATCAATTCTAATTTGTCACGACAAAATCGAAACCTACTTGAATACACTTAATAGTCAAAGCGACAAATTCCCCAATTAAAATTTTCATTAAGAAAAATTAATTGTTATTAAAAATCACAATTTCAATTTCGTTTTCGACTTAAAATTTTTATAATTCGTATTTATCAATTTTAATTTGTCACGACAAAATCGAAACCTACTTGAATACACTTAATAGTCAAAGCGACAAATTCCCCAATTAAAATTTTCATTAAAAAATATTAATTGTTAATAAAAATCACATTTTCAATTTCGTTTTCGTCTTAAAATTTGATTAATCAATATTTATCAATTCTAATTTGTCACGACAAAATCGAAACCTACTTGAATACACTTAATAGTCAAAGCGACAAATTCCCCAATTAAAATTTTCATTAAAAAATATTAATTGTTAATAAAAATCACATTTTCAATTTCGTTTTCGTCTTAAAATTTGATTAATCCATATTTATCAATTCTAATTTGTCACGACAAAATCGAAACCTACTTGAATACACTTAAAAGTCAAAGCGACAAATTCCCCAATTAAAATTTTCATTAAAAAATATTAATTGTTATTAAAAATCACATTTTCAATTTCGTTTTCGACTTAAAATTTTTTTAATCACTATTTATCAATTTTAATTTGTCACGACAAAATCGAAAACTACTTGAATACACTTAATAGTCATAGCGACAAATTCCCCAAGTAAAATTTTCATTAAGAAAAATTAATTGTTATTAAAAATCACATTTTCAATTTCGTTTTCGACTTAAAATTTGTTTAATCAATATTTATCAATTCTAATTTGTCACGACAAAATCGAAACCTACTTGAATACACTTAATAGTCAAAGCGACAAATTCCCCAATTAAAATTTTCATTAAGAAAAATTAATTGTTATTAAAAATCACAATTTCAATTTCGTTTTCGACTTAAAATTTTTTTAATTCGTATTTATCAATTTTAATTTGTCACGACAAAATCGAAACCTACT